AAAATTAAATTTTGTATTTGAATTGAATTATTCTTGAAATTTGTTTTTCACAAAATATTTATAAAACAATCTATTGGATTCTGGTGAAAAAAAACTATTTGGTACGCCCACGGAGATCCTAACTGTTAAACGTTCGTATAATGGCAAAATGGCGGACTAACATTAAATTTGACTGGAATTTTGGCAGTAGAATGTTTTTTCTATTTCAAAATGTTTCTTCGTACAATCCTATCTAATTTTCTTTAATTTCAGAACTACGGTCTTGCGATTATATTCACTTCAGACTCTATAATGGTTAAATGTGAAAAACTTCTAAACTCAGCTTACCATCAACAATTACAAGCCTTAGAAATGAGCCTTCTAAGGGTAGAACTCAAAAGGTTCATTGTAAAATTGAAACACTTTAAACCAGTTATATCGGCAGCAGATTTTTTCGAAATAAAAAGGATTACCATATTGAATTTGATCATCGGCATCACCACTTATTCTATTATCATGCTTCAGCTTGGAGATACCAAATTCAAGGATAACCTTAAGGTTAAATTATCTAGTAAGCCTTGAAAGTAAAGGCATTACCATGATGACAACAACTATGATGGATGCATCATAATAATAATGTTTATTTTGCAAAAAAGTACATTCATTTATCAATAATATAGTATAGTAATTAGACAAATATAAACAAAAGACAGACAAGCCCATTAGAGCCACTACTGGCTGAGCATGGGCATTTATAGTTCATTAAAATAATCGTTTTTAATTTATTTTAACTAGAGTGTAGCACCTTATAAGTATATTATAAAGTCCTATTATCTAAATAATTAAATATAGAAATTAAGATATCAATAACAAAACAATTATTAAAATATCAATTAAAAAAAACAGTTTAAATATAAAGAAAATACAATTAAAATATCAATAAAATCAATTTTAACAAGAACACAATTTTGGTTTTAAGCACAATAAGTGAACTTTAAAATTTCAAATAAAATATAAAAAAAGAAATGAAAACCAATAGGTAAAACAAGAAGAAATATTAAAACATTTTTTTTTTTTGTAAGGCAATGTTCGATACTAATACTTAACTTTATGATAAATTGATACCGTAATCTGGGGTGAGATCGGACAGGTAGTACGAGTTCGGACAATGGTGCGCGGCGTGGGAAATCACGTGCCCACGAGCACGTTTTTCATTGGCGAAGTTTTTTGCATGTGTTTACATGTCCAATATTGTCTCATTTCACTCCAGTTAGGTAGAAATTGCAGCTAGAGAAAGTTTGTGGTAAGTACGGGATATTTTGATATGGGGTCGTAATTTGCATATTTTTTATAACGTTAGAAACAAACATCTGGGGGAAGGGGATCTGTAAGCAATTGAATCGTAATTTTTCATATAATGTAGGTTTATATGTTTTCTAATGATTCATGAATAATTATCATTTATTTTCTCATTCCCGAATTTTTTTTTCTTGTTATAGAAAAAATATAGCTTTTCGTGGGGCGAGTTCGGACACTATGCCCAGAAATTACAGGCGTCCTCTTGGCGTAAAACAAAGATCCAACTATGCCAAAGAGGCTTTAAATAAGGCTGTTAAAGATGTCAGGACTAAAAGGAAGACCCTGAGGGAGATAGCAGAGTTCTACAACATACCAAAATCGACAATAAATGACAAAATGACAGGTAAGCACGCTAAAAAAGTGGCGGGCAAACCAAATTAAGCCAAGAACAAGAGAGTGAACTGGCACAAGGAATTTTAACTTCCGCCGAATGGGGCTTTCCCTTAACTAGGCTGGATATTCGCCTAATCGTCAAATCATATTTGGACAGATCCGAAACAAAAATCACAGGATTTAAAGACAACATGCCCGAGAAAGATTGGTTTTATGGATTTATGTTTAGACATAAAATTTTATCGGAGCGCCTTGCACAAAATATCAAGAGGAGTAGAGCAGAAGTCGATAGGCAAAAAAAGTTCAAGAATATTTTGATAACCTTCAGGCTGTTATGGGACCTATTCCTCCAGAGAACATAATTAATTATGATGAATCCAATTTAACTGACGATCTTGGAAGATCAAAGGTCGTTGGTAAGAAATAGAATTATGATTCTTCTAAAAGCAGCACGTCAATTATGATGGCTGCTAGTGCTTCAGGTGTTTTGCTGCCTCCGTTATGTCGTATACCGAGCTCTTCATATTTACCCAACTTGGATAGAAGGGGGCCCAGAAGGCACTGTATACAGTAGATCGAAAAGTGGGTGGTTTGAGACACCAATATTTGAAGACTGGTTTTTACAAGTGGTTTTGCCATATTTCCGCAAGTTAGAAGGGCGAAATTTGTTAATTGGCGACAATCTTTCCAGTCACTTGTCATTGTTTCTGATTAAGCAATGTGAAGAAAACGGAATTCATTTCATTTTATTACCCCCATATGCCACCCACTTGCTGCAACTCTGGACAATCTTTCCAGTCACTTGTCATTGTTTGTGATTAAGCAATGTGAAGAAAACGGCATTCATTTCATTTTATTACCCCCATATGCCACCCACTTGCTGCAACCTCTGGATGTTGCGTTTTTTGGCCCCATGAAGAAACACTGGCGTGCAAACTTGACTGATTGGAAAATGAAAAATAAAGGTGTCCTGCCTAAATCAGAATTTTCCTCGTCTTTTAAAGAAAACTTTAGAATCTTTGGGCCCGAATATCGCCAAAAATATCAAATCTGGTTTTAGAGCTTGTGGAATTGTTCCATTGAACGCTGAAATAGTTTTGGAAAAGTTGCCCGGAAAGACAGCAGAAAAGGATAATGCTAATGATCACTGGAGCCAAAGTTTTTCCGAATATTTAAAAGACTGTAGATGGGAGGAAAAAAGCGAAAAACTGAGGAGGGGGTTAAAAAGCTGAATGTTGCCCCTGGAAAAGGTGTGTGAGAACAGAAGATCTTCCCCAAGAAGAAAATATCATTTTTGAGAAGAGTGATGTGGAAAACATTTGCGTAGAAGAGGAAGAAAACGTTTATGAAGACGAAAATGAAATGTCTGTATTTGAGCAACCTTCTACCAGCACTTATGAGAGAGAACCAGAAGTTGATCAAAATCTCATTGAAGTGGGAGGTTTCGTTGTAGTTTCCGTTCCTTGTGAAGACCAAAAAAAATTTCGATATTTTGTTGGTCTTATAGATAAAATTGTTGATATAAAGGAAGAGCTTTTTTTAGTAAAATATCTTAGAATAAAAGGCGAAAAAAATTATTATTTTATATTTCCCGATATTTCTGATGAGGGACTTGCGTTTAAAAAAGATATTTTTAAAAAAAATTTTCTAGAAGAAATAAGAAGAGGAAGGCACTTTTTTAAGCACCTTCCCGACAACATCAAAATAGAATAATGAGTTTATTGCAATGTTCTTTGTTAATAACATAGTTATTACGTGTTTTTTTTTAAATGTTTTTATGTTTTTTGGAAACTTATTTTAGTTTTATTGTTTATGTTCTTGGTTAATAACATAGTTATTACGTGTTTTTAAATGTTTTTATGTTTTTTTGGAAAAATATTCGAGTTTTATTACTTTAAATAAAATTGTTCGTACCGAAATTGTGTTTGGACCCCCTATCCCCCCTAAGAAATTTTTTTTATGAAATCTGTATATATGTATATTTAATTTAATATTTGTCCGAACACACTCTTACTATAAATTAAGTTTGGATTTTCCAATAAATTAAAGGTGATCCGCACTTAGACCACCCATAGGGGTGAGTTCGGACACCTTTCAATAATAAAAAAAAAATAGAATTTTTTGAAATATGCAAAAAACAAATACTGTATTCGATAGAGGAAGGTATAAGGTTCTTATATTAATTTTTTCAGATTTTTACAAAAATCTAGCCTCTTGCTATTAAGAAAAAACCTTTAAAATGTGTCCGATCTCACCCCAGATTACGGTACTCATTTATTGTGATATTAGATCATACTGCAAACAATAATTCTATTGATTTAGTATCATAATGAATAAAAAAAAATTTTATATATAGATTTAATTAGACCTATCGAGTTTAATGTGCATATGTATCTACATTTCAGGTAGAAAGTTATAAATCTTTAGAGACATATGTAGATGTGAACGCTGACCTATGGTTTTTTTTAAATAAGGGTATTTGGATACACCCTTTTTCCTTATTTTTTGTTAAGTACTTGTGTTCAAGTACTTTTAGTAAATGTTTATTTTTATAAAGAAAAACCACGGAGTTATAAGCATACAGTTTTCGTAGGTTTAAAACTCTTGCTTCTTGAAACAGTACTTCCGTCGGAAAAATATTTTTTTTGGCCGTAATTAATTTTCAATATCTTCCTTTGAATAATATTGACTGAATACCATACTGTATTCTGGACTCTACTAGTGCATGATATACCATCTTTAGCTGACTTATGTTTAGGATATTTTTCAAGTATCTAAATTTATATAGTAGACTTCGTAATATTCTAGAGACATTTTTAAAATGCATATTCCACCTTAAGTGAGAGTCAATTGTAATACCTAGGTACTTGAGGCTACTTGAGCGACTTAACACAGTGTCATCTGATATCGTTAATATTTCATATTCAGGTAGACTATAGACTATATATTGTAATGATAATTATAATGATAATTAATATTAGAGCTGCCCTGTCTCTTTCTCCCAGGGGTGGATTCAATATAACTATTAGACTTTATGTTTAATTTTGTTTTAATTAAATTGCATCTGTTCCGATTAGAAAAATTCTGAAACAACTGCCAAAGATTAAGAAATAAATACTTATGTACTTACTACTTACTTTTCGTAAAACCCTGTATGTTTTTAAATGAAATAAGCAAATTTTTCAACATAACTGTATTGTTTATTTGTAACACATTATTTTCGAAACCAAAAATATGAAAGTAGTCACAAATTAGGTTCAAAATCTTATAAATACCTACCTACTAAGAACTATAATCATTCATACCAACTAAACTTAAAAATAACCGATTCAAAAAAAATAATGATGGTGATTCGTTGATATAAAAGTAAATATTATTGCAAATGGAAACACAACTTTATTTCTATGACTATTATCAAACTATTATACCCAAATTATATAAGAAATGTCACTTCGTAATGTCAAAGAAATAAAAATGTTTTATCATGGGATTTTAATTTATTTATACTAGTTACTTTAACGTTTTTATGTTATTGGTTAACGATAAAAATCAGTCTTTCCTCGCATAAAACTCAATAACTGAATATCAAAAAAAAAGTCAGTGCACATAAGAGTACTCACTCAGTTCGTGTTCGTATTCATTTTTGCTTGCACTACTACAAACGGATTCGCGTTTGCATGATCCACGTTGAATTGATGGTTCTTCTTATTTTGCTGTAACAGTCAGTCTTGGACAATATTTCTAAAATCTTCTTGTCGCACCTACACTTGACGTTTATTATAACAATTATCGGTGCCTGTAAACATAACGAACACACGAATTTCGAAAAAAATTTTTTAACTAAAAAATAGTACTAACTGTATATATGAAATAACAAAAAAAAAAATTTGCGGGTTTACGCATAAATAACAGAGAAATTTGAATTTTAACCTGCAGATTTTGGTGTTTCTAACCTA